GACAGTGTGATGGGAAGGAAGCTGCCTCGAGGTCACAGCAGGGGCTGGGGCAGAGGGTTCTGCTCCCAGCTGTGGAACAGCCCTTGGCGTGTTAGCTCCACCCCCCAGCGCGGCTCTCCTCCTCACGCAGAAGGGGAAACCGAGGCACTGGGTTGCCCACCTACGCAGCAACTGGGCCCAGGAGTCCTGACTCCCACTCCAGTGCCTTGACCAGCAGCCTCCTCGCACTGGCCTAGGGCAGTCACCCGGCACAGCTCCGCATCCCGCCTCACCCGCTGCTCTCTCCTGTCAGTGCCGCTCCATGGCCAGTCCCCGCTGGTGACGGGCGAGCGGGTCTCCGCCAACATGAGGACGGTCAGCAAGCTGCCGCGCCACCGCCCACTGAGCCGCACCCAGTCGTCCCCGCTGCCCCAGAGCCCCCAGGCCCTGCAGCAGCTAGTCATGCAGCAGCAGCACCAGCAGTTCCTTGAGAAGCAGAAGCAGCAGCAGATTCAGCTCAGCAAGGTTGGTGGGGAGAAGGGGCTGGGCATGGGGAGCTTGAACACCTCCATGCTCAGCTTCGGTGGGGCCTGTGCCGCTCGTCATCCCCTTGGGCCGCCAGAGGGCGCCTGTCATGCTGCACCTGACCCCGTGGGCGCCCCCGAACCTCACTGCCCCCTCTCTCCAGATCATCACCAAGGCGGGCGAGCTGCCCCGCCAGCCCACCACGCACCCCGAGGAGACGGAGGAGGAGCTGACGGAGCAGCAGGAGGCCCCGCTGGTGGCCGGCTCGCCGGAGAGCGAGAGCACGCAGGAGGACCTGGAGGAGGAGGAGGGCTGCGGGCCGGAGAGGGACGAGGGGGGCGAAAGCGGGGCCGAAGAGGAGCCCATCGACTCGCCGGAGGTGGTGGAGCTGGGTGTGGCTTACAAGCAGGTGAGGCCAACCAGGGTCTCCTGTGCCTTGCGCACCATCGGCCCAGAGCAGGGCCCGGCTCCCTGGGTGGACTCATGCTTCATCCAGCGCACTTGCCTTTACCCCCGGGCCGGAGGAGCAGCTCCCCTGCTGGCACCTCTAGTAGGCTCTTCTCCTCTGTGCTGCAGCTGCCGGAGGATGACCCAGGGCTACTGGGTGTTGTGCCACCACAGGTGTGGCCCCGAGGAGGAGGGGGCGGCAGTGGGGAAGACTAGCCCCAAACGTTTGCTCCCTCGCTGAGCCCCCTGAGTGTGGCTGCACCAGCCAGCACAGCCAGCAGAAGCACCAGGGCTGGAGCAGCCAGTTGCCCTGGAGACCCATCCAACCTGCCTTGATCCAGGCACGTATCCCTGGCCCATCGCTGCGACAGCCAGGGTCCCGCTTGCTGCTGGATGTCATGGCAGGCCTGGGCCTTGGTGCCCATTGTGCTGCTGGGAGAGCCAGTTCTCTGTGGGGGGAGGCTGAGCATTCACCCTGGCCAGCTGTGGGGGGGAGGGGGGAGGGACCGGGTGTTTGCCCTGACCACCTG